TTGGTCTTGAATAATCAAAAAACACCTATTTGATTATCAGCACATGCTCTCTCAGAATATGATAGCATTTTTGAGCCGTTGCATTCGGGGAAAGATGCTAGGGTCCACTTTCCTATTCACTCGGTTTATGCACTCGATGTCATTTTAGGCAGCGAAGTGTAGGAATCACATTAACGATTTATCGGTATCAGAATTCCCTTGTTGACCATCTCGAGACAAACCTATACGGACTCATGAATTTCAGCCAAATAATACGACGTTTCTCAAGCCAGTTACATATAGATCAACTGGCATCATTTTGGTGTCACCCTTGCCCTGGGAACATTCGAGTAAAATGTGACGAAGACAATACTGTTAAGTCACACATGAAAGAAAATGAAAAACGCATACCATTCATGCAAACAAAAGTAACTATGGGAATAGCGGAATACATATCCAGAAATGGACTGAAAAATGTTTGTGATCAATTGTCTTAAGGAAGCAGTTCACATGAACCTAAAATGGGCACTAAATAACCAGAGAGGCATTCAGATGAAATGTTTGTAGGCGAGAGTATAAAGTTCTCCATAATTGAATGACGAATGGAATCGTTATTAATGAAATCGCTTGTACTATGACAAGGAGGATTCGAGATTGTGCTACGCTTGGTAACCGCTACAGTAATATTTTATCGCGAGTGCTTGTATCTCACTGCATCTTTTTGGTTCATGGCGTTTTGTTTGCTTTGCATTGCAGGTTTAACTTCAACCTCGACCTTTCTGTCAGTGTTTCCTCGCCAACCCGTGTACCACATCTCCATCGCCATTCCACGCTGTCGTTCGTTTCCCACAAAGCCTTGTGTCGTCACCAGCTGCGAGAATACGAGTCGAGGGACATACTGTCGCATATATCTATACACTACGCTGCGGAGTAAGTCCGCATTACACTTGTACTAGCTGAAGTTAGAGCTGATTTTGCTTTAAAAAAAGACTGAATATGACAGGCTCTCCGTATATGCGACACTTAACGTTGCAAAATCTACAAGTTAAACGCGAGTCTTTCATACCAAGACCTATACTCCTTCCAGTGTTGAATCCGTTGGTGGTGCCTTTGGTGTAATTTTAGAAAACTGCTCTCGTCGACATTGTGACTACTTAGAATGACTAGTATTCAAAAACATATGGGGTTTTCACAAACAATGACACAAAGTCTTGGTAATATTCACAAACTGTATTCACCGTCAGGAATGTGAAATCAAACAGGAGTAAGAGCAGTTCAGCAATTAATCGGTCAGGTAACTGGATTTGCAGTTGGTCACCGAAACTACTACATGGTGCTGCAGTATGCACCTGAATAGTGAATTCACGTATGGATTGGGTTGCACCGCGCGTGAGCGAATGAAATTTGGCTCGTTTAGAAACCTCGAAATTAGCCGATGGTACATGTTTCAATAACAGACTCGCAGGCAAATGATAAAGTAGTTTCCAGAAAGTCTAAACTCTTCAGCAAGTAATATGCATCCTTTTTCACAGTCGGAAAGAAATGATCAGTTTTACGTTCATCAAGCGTAAAACACCAAATCTAGAAGCGTTCAAGGAAATCTTCGACTTATAGTGAGTTTGCATGAATGTTTAATTTCTAAAAATTAAAAGACTTCGTTAGAAATTACCGCGACACCAGTTGTTGTAATTACGCGCAGTGATAATCCACACCAATATTAGTACTTGAAAGGAAATTCGAATGCAGCAAGCGTCAACAAAGTTTTACTGTGATATGCGGAAAACATGAATGTATCAGGATTTGCGATCGATAAGACAAACGAGCTCGTGGTCTAGGTACCATCACCACATCAACGCATTCAAAGCAGGCCAAAATGTTCTACTGGTGAGCGAAATACAATAAAGTTAGTGGGTATGTATAAGGAAAAGGAGAGCTTAGAATTATGAAATGGGAATCTAATTTGAAAGAATCATTTCAATACATCTGCATAATTACTTGGATTGCTGTCAAAGAAAATGCATCGTTCTCTTATTCCCCACTTAAGCGATGATTAAAGTCAGATTTCAAAATCCACTGAGAAAGTAACTTCTCTGCGGTTCTTAATAAACAAAGTCACCNAAAGTCACCCGGTTGAAATTCAGTAACGTAGCATACATTCAGATTAACATTTTGCGGAATATTGCTTTTGGATCTGCATGACTAGTATTCAAAAACGTGCCCACATGTTTTTTGGTCCCATACTCGCAATCTCCGCTCACTGATGCGTATTACATCTGGGCAGTAAATGGCTATAGCTATTTGCGCAAAAAATTGCTAACTTGGAATTTAATAGTTAGTAACGGAAATCTTTTGACGTTCCTACAGGTTTTCATCATTTGAATAGTATGAAATACTGGTTCACCTGCAAATCAACNAATCAACGGTGTGATAGAATAATAGTTTATTCACTCAGGAAGTCAGTATACAGAACTCTGCCCCTTCACGAACGCTTATCATACGGTTTTAGCATGATTGGATTACCTGGAAAAGAAAGCCCTTGAATATTGGTCTGATATAAGTGTAAGTCTTAATCAAAATTACGATCGCGCTAATCTGTTCGCGTTGAAGTGTAAACTCAAATGATGCAAACGGAAGATGATGGTATGAACCTGTGCGTTCGTCGTATGAAAAATAACCAAATTCTGGTTTGATGACTAGCTATGTTTTATCAGAAAATGAAGTCCTTCCGTGCCTTATTAAGATAAACTGAAAGCATACGCAGTTTGTTCATGGGAATAGCTTCTCAGGCCAAATTATTGATATCAGATACACCGGCCTAAGGCCAACAAAAGCCACTCGTTTTCCAACCACCACCGCCACAACACGACTGCCTTATCGGTAAGTTGAAGTAAACAGGCTCTAACTCAAACATTGTCGGGGACCGAACTGTGCGACGATTTCACTGCCCCAAGCAATAAGGGCTTACATCGAAGACGAGCTACCCAAAGATCAATCTAATAGGCATATAGGCATTCAATTGTTACTGAGAAGCAACCTACCGTGGCAGAACTGAGACAACTGTCAAGGAGGAAACACAAACGCCCCTCTTCCTGGTTAAGCCACCGTAAAATGGGAACAAAACTTTTTATTTTCTAGCAGACAATAGGGTCACGATATCCAGTTAATCAAAAGGTTTCAAGCATTTATCACACACTCTCATCGCTGTAGTGATTTGTGCAGGCAACTATGCATAAACCACGTAGCTTTGATGGCGCATCAGCACATATAGCAGAGTCTGAAGCGATCTAAATCCGGTTGAATGCAGTAGATAACAAAAGTATAGTTGATGGGTCAGAAAAACGACTTATTTAGCTTACAGGACTTTGTTCGGAATACGGTGATGTACCCAAGCATTGATGAATAACTGAAGAAGAGCGTGGCGGGTATTCTTTTTTATTTAAAAAATGTGTTCTGTGGGACTGTCCACACAAGGAAACAGTTTTTGAAATAAAAATGAGACAATAAATTGTATTCTCTTAAATCAGTCGCACCCTCTCACAGACTGAGAGACAACATTACAATGGTTCACTGTAGATGAGACTTCGATCGTGTAAGTCTTTCTATTAATAAATGTGAGATTTTACGAGCTGCTGACGTTTGATTAATACAAATAAACTATTTACATATTGTTCAAAATTCCGTAAACGAAGAAGAGACAAGTGACCAAATGAAATTAGACCCCAGTAAGCCACTTGTACCGTATTGAACCCATAAGAATGGAATATGATGCCCGGAGATATAACTAGACCAAATAAAGCTAGCTATAGATGATAGATTAAGCTAATAAGTTTGAGGGTACCATAAAATATCAAGCACCCTAAGCCAAAGCGTGGAATCTGACGAAAAAGAAAAATAGCTGCTTGTGGTTCGGAAGGTGAGGTATAAAACCCGTTTATGCGGACTTATTGTTCAAGAACATATTACCCGGCCTACCGATGTTTATGTTGTCAAATACACCTGGTAGTTCGTGAGACAACTATGCAAAATCGGCAGTATTTGATTGGAAAAACAGTATAAGTTCATTTGTTGTTTATTCAAGTTGATTTCAAGGCAACGTTTAGAACTGACACAATTCTGCTTCCTTCTCCTTTGACTCATCCTTATGATTTTTGAAATATCTGTCCCGGTAAACAAGTATCCAGTTAATTAGGCACTCTATTTTCACATTTATGGAGCTCGTGTGCTTTGTGAGTAAAGCTTTCATGACAGGAAACAAGTATCCAAGCCATACGTTATTCGAATTCTTATAGAAGCGTGTACCCATCCGGGGAAATAAAGTCAGAAAATCGAAGTTTGTTTGAAAATCATACCCGATATACGCACGTCGGACGCGCATAAAAAACAAACAGAACTAGGTAAAATCCGAGAAACACCAAACTGGTGCAAAAGCAGTTTGTGAATGTGATATGTGTGAGCTGGGTGGTGTGTGTGTGTGTGTGTGTAGGTAGGTAGAGAGGCCTTTCGGTTCATCACGTAATCCATGAACAAAGTGGATCATAAACAAAAGAAGAGTTAGAGAGAAAAACCGAAAAAACTCATCACTATCCAGATATGACTAGGTACATAGATCATAATGCTGAGAAGAAAAACAAAAACAGAGTAGGTAGTGCCGTTTGGTGAGTGAGTGTGTGTGTGTGCATATGCATTTCAAGTGTTATAAACAACGAGATCCCCAGTTAGCCGTTTTATCAGATGTACCACAATTTAAGCCGGAATGTTCTAAATTACACTTCTATTGCATTCATTCACACACCCCTTCCCTCCGATAGTGGATTGCGAAAATATTTTGCATGTGAGTTGGGGAGCAAAGTACAATTGAAACAGTTCCATGTTTCGTTCGAAATGATGTATCAATGAGACAAACAGAGCGGAGGGTAGGGGAATAGAATATTGAGAGAAACAAATGCTGTCGAAAGTTTGGTCGAATGGAATGCTTGGGTGGAATGTTCAGGGTTTACACAGAAAGAATCCATTACCTGAAATTAACTTTTGCGACGAAGGGAGAAGAAACTTTTCAACGACCTTCGCTGGGCCATACTACTTTGTGAACCATATCGTAGACTGCCTGTATGACTACCCAAGGGTCCAACAGATGCGATCGATGGACGAGAAGCTCGCTGTTGTGCGGCAGTCACAATGTCAGCCGTTTCGTTGATCGCATCCAACCAACGTTGTAGTACACGATCATTAGCTGTTTGGAATAGGTATTCTCGACCGTCATTCAAGTGTAAGCGAAACACGCAAGGACGTTTGGTATAATCTGTTGCGGTGACGGCTTGCGCCATGACTAAGCTTAAAGGTGCTTCGTTTTTCAAACATTCATCTGGTTTCTCACGACGACTGCGATAGTCCTTGTACACGCGTAGTTGACCAGCATCCAGAACCAGATAGACTGGAACCCAAGAGCGACCGGCACTCCTCGGTCTGACAGCACCGCCCACATCAACCTCATGTTTGCGTACCACCGGACCCTCAAGACGTGGTGCAGTTCGCATCGCGTGTTCCGTAATTTCAGTGGAAGAACGCTGCATTTGAGCCGAAAGCTCAGTGCTGCCCACGGTGGATCGTCGTTTGCTATGCGAGCTAGCGCTGGATAGAGAGCGTTCTGACTGACGTTCAGTGCCTTGGGGTCCGGAGGAAGATGCAACTGGCTGTTTTTGTGGTAGATTTGCTGAACTGACAATGCTGTAAGGTAATTACACAGAGAATGATTCAAATCAAGTAACAGCGATCCGTGCAAGTAGTCCTTAGACATGATATAAAGGCATACATTTTATATTTAATAACCACTCGCAAAACAGACCAACCGACTGATTTACCCACACGAGTGTTGCTTTATTAACCTGGCTGATTGGCCAATCCAATTTCAAGAATCTCATTGTTTAGCTGTCTCTAGATGGGTTTCGTATCCGCTCTTCTTATTTATCAGAGATATTCGCAATCCAGATTCGTATTTGGTAGCAACGTAGATTGGCGGATTCATGCTTATTTCCCAATGGACACGTTTTTTGCTTCACCAGGTTGAATCTGGTTTTGGGGGTTGCCAAATAAACTATAAAAATCTGCATTATAGTGGATTTCTTGGATAAACAGCTTTCTTTGCTACGGGCCACAGAGTGCTGAACCAAATCCTTTGATGAATCGACTAGTTGTTAACCGGAACTCATGGTCCCCTTACTTACCTTACTCGGAGAGAAATATAACAGGTTTATTTTGAAGTCATTTGTCGCTGATTCACCCATAACGTCCACTCCTCACTCACTTTTCTATTACTATGAGATCAGCTCATTGAACTAGTTATACCATGATTATCAAGGATTTTGCTTCACTAAGCATGCCGGTTTACTTCCTCTTCCAATTTCATTTGCCTGAAAGTTACATCACCTTTACGAGGAGGTATTCAAAACTGTTTTTTCCATAAACGGCGGGATTGAAAAATCATTGTTTTTCTCCCCCCGCTTCCTCTGTTTCGTATCCCAATCCTTCTTTTCTTTGTTAGTATTGTTAATGTGTTGGCAGCATGCTTGTTTGTAAATCGGTGATATATATCTGTTTTATAATCGTCCTATATTCAGTCACAGAATCAACAAATTACGTTTCAGATGAATGTTACCCCATCCTCAATGTACAGTTGTTTCAAGGATTATGGGATGTTTCTGTTGCACTTCATGCCTGTTTCGTAACAATGGTACTGCAGAATACTACAGCAGGGAATGGTCAACTATATATTTGCACTTTTTCGAAGACTATAACCTTACAAATTCTTTGAAACTGTTCCCTTAGGATTGTATCGAATCAATCAGCAGATTAGAGAGCAAAAATATTTGTAACAGGTTTCAGAAAAATAGGCAAGAGCACTATGTTTTCCGATCGAATAGATAACTACCATTTTGGTGCTGAAGTGCGAAATTGTCTTAGTATCAGAGAAGTTTTGTATCCGCATG